GAGTTCACACAGTGTTTTGGAAAGAATTCTGGTCTAGGCCTCAGGCTCTGACATTTACTAGCTGCCTAATCCTGGACAGATCATTAAAATCAACAAATCACTAAGCCTTTATTAAGTAATTACTTTGTGTCAGGCATTGAGCACCTTAGTTTCCTCATTAGTAAAATTAGAATAATAACACTTTCACTTCCTAACTCCCAGGATGGTTTCATGGAGAATGACCGCTGCTGTCTCCCCACTCCATTCCATCCTCCATTCAGGGGTCAAATTGTTCTTCCTCAAGCACAGGTTTGACAACTTCACCTCCACCCAGTTCAATAAACTCCAGTGACTCCAGAATCAAACATAAAAATACTCTCTTTGGCTTTTAAACCCCTTCCTACCCTTCCAGCCTTCTTACACCTTTACCCTTCTTCCTCACCCTACAATACTCTGTGACCCTGTGACATTGGCCTCCTTGCTGATGTACACACAAGACACCATGGCCCAACTCTGGGCATTTTCGCTGGCTGTGCCCCATGGCTAGAACTCTCTCCATCCTCATCTCTACCTCCAGGTTTCCCCGGCTTCCTTCAAGTCTCAGCTAGAACCCCACCTTCCACAGGAAGCCTTTCCCAATCCCCCTAAGTTCTAGTGCATATTTGTTTGCATATAATCCCCTCTAACAAACACTGAGTAACTTGAGATCAGGGACTGCCTTTCACCATTCTTTGTATCCTCAGAGCTTAGCACAATACCCAGCACATAATAACCACTTAACAAATGTCTATTGACTGACTGACTTAAAGCAATATATAAAGTCAGGCACCAAAGATAAAGGCGACAATGCTGGATAAAGATCTTGACCTGGAGTCAATAGGATCTGAGTTCAAATTCTGTCTCAGACACTTACTAGCTATACCCTGGACAAATGATTTAACCTCTTTTGGCCTCAGTTTCTTTATCTATAAAATAAGGATATAACAGCACCTTCCTTACAGGCTTGTGGTGAGGATCAAATGAAATAATATATGTAAAGTACTTTTCAAATATTAAAGTATTATATAAGTGCTAGTTATTATTATAATAGAGCTGGCCTTGGATGCAAAAAGAACTAGTTTCAAACCCCATCTCCAACACTCACTGGCTGTGTGACCCAGGTCAAGTCACTTAACCACTTAATAATCTAAGCAACTCTCTAAGACTCTAAACTGTACAGAAGGTGTTGACCTGCATTGGTAGAAGGATTTTCCTCATCTGAGAGGTCATCCTTGTATGAATGAAATCATACTCTTGTCACTATCCCAGTCCCTATACACCATTATTATTTCTGTGATAATCTAACATTTCAGAGCATCATGACCATAGACCCCCTCAGTATTTTCCACAATTTAGTTAAGAATCAATTCTGACATCACTTACATCTTTTAGACTTTGGTAGGCAGAAAAGAGATTCATCCTCCCAAAAGGATCAGGACCAATTTATTAAAGCATGAGAAATAACACATTTTTTCCCTAACAGCTTACTTTTTTGTTTGTTTGTTTGTTTTAACAGTTCAATCTAGTAGCCACATTATGAGATTACCATCCACTTTGATGGATGTCAAATTTTTCCTCTTGCTCAGCATCGCTTATAGGGTTGTGGGGTGGGGGAAGGAAATTGGAGGGAGGGAGAAAGGGTAGTTCTAGATATGAACTAACAAAATTGGCTTTGGAAATGTGAAAATTATTTTTTAAAAGGTGCTACATTTATTAACCATGTCACTAAAAATAAGAAAAAATGACACCGAGATTAATGTGTTACAGTATGCCTTCTCACTTCTCCACCCCCACACCCAGTCACCAACTGTCAGGGGAAAGAGGAAAGGACCACAGTCATGAAACAGATTGGACTGAGAATCAGGAGACCCCGGCCAAATCCTGCCCTGCCCTATGTAACCCTGGGAAAGTCCCTTACTGTCTCAGATCCTCAGATTCCTCATATGAAAAATGAGAATACTGATATTACCTATTGATAGAATCATAAGATCTTACATCTTATAGATCTTATGAAAAGCACTGCAGAGAACATGTAGCTGAACTTTTAATGTTTTACAGAACATGAAACTGATGCCCAGGGAGACTAAGTGATTTATCCAAGGTCCCACGAGTAATAAGCATTAGGGTAAGATTCGCACTCAGGGCTTCTGATTCTAGAACCGTTGATCTTTCCCCTGTACCACACTGATAACCTTCACAGAGTTGTTGTAAAGAAAGTGCTTTATGGCCCTTAAGTGTTATAAAAATGGAGACCATTGTTGATTATTATATTATTACTCAGGAACATTAGCTTCTGAATTATTATTTCACATATCTCCTTTGAAGTCCATTCTGTAAATTTAGGTTAGTCTTTCCCTGTCCTCATTGTTAAAGCCAAGTAATTCTTCCTTAACTACTTCAAAAAGATTTTTTACAATCTTCCTTTTTACCCTTTGCCCTTTCTTCTTTTCATAGATTTCAACAACCACCTTCCAAAGCCATGGCCTCACAGTTCTTTGACCTCCTGAAGTCCAATGATCATTTCAGCTACCTACTTGCATAGTCACCCCTTATCATCACAAGGAACTGTTCTATCCCCAAGATTTTAAATTCTAAAAATCATTTATAAACATAATTTCCTATTCTTCTACCTAGGGGAATCAATGCATGAAATGTACAATTCAATAAGAAAAATTTCTGGATAATTTCTCATATACTATGGGAGGGAAGAGGAAGAAGAGAAAGAAGAAGAAGAAGAAGAAGAAGAAGAAGAAGAAGAAGAAGAAGAAGAAGAAGAAGAAGAAGAAGAAGAAGAAGAAGAAGGAGAAGAAGGAGGAGGAGAAGGAGGAGAAGGAGAAGGAGAAGGAGAAGGAGAAGGAGGAGAAGGAGAAGGAGAAGAAGAAGGAGAAGAAGAAGAAGAAGAAGAAGAAGAGAAGAAGAAGAAGAAGAAGAAGGTGGAGGAGGAGGAGGAGGAGGAAGCACTTATATAGTACCTACAATGTGCCAAGTATTATGCTCAACACAAATGAAATATTTCATTTGATTCTTACAATGATCATGGGAGGTACCCCCATTTTACAGCTCAAAAAACTGAAGCAGATGGCACTTAATGACTTGCCCAAGATCACATAGTTAATGAGTTTCTGAGGTTGGATTTGAACTGAGATCTTCCTGAACTCCAGGAAGCTGCATGAGATCATTTAAAGAAGAGAAGATGGAACACCGTGCTCTCCTAAGGAATATCCCTACCTAAATCTTCATCTCTAACCCAACCTCTCTCTCACCTCCAACTACTTATATCTACAGAAACAACCATTCAAAATCAATGTGTACCAAACTCAACTCATCATTTTACCTTAGAAATATCTCCTCTTCATGACTTCCCTAACTTTTTATTATAGGCACCCCCATTTTCCTTGTTACCTAGACTAGAAGCCACACAGACACCTTGGCTCTATTCTATCCCCATTCTATCACTCCTTCCATTCTCCCACATCTCCAACCTTGTCTCATTCCGTCATTTCTGTCTGCTCAATTTCATTCCATTCCAACGGCTATTAATAATGTCAGGCCTGTATTATCTCAAGTGGATTCTTATTATATTTTCCTAAATTGTATCCCAGTTTCCAGTACAAACCATCCTATACACAAACCCAGACGGATCTCCCTAAAGTACAGTTCTGATGGTGTAGCACCTCTGACTCAAAACATCTTCAATAGTTCCCTATTGCCTACCAAACAAAATCCAAACGCTTTAGACTGAAATTTGTAGTCTTCTGTGATATGGCCTCAACGAGTTGTTCTTCTCTTGCTTTCTATTACTTGCTGGACTTACGTTATGTTTCCATCAGGCAAACAGTGCCCAGATTATTTGTCATTCCTCATACATACTCTGAGAGTTCATGCTAATGCCCATGCAATATCCTCAACTTCCTATGCCCTTCCTCTGATCTCCACTCTCCAAAAGCCCTATCCAACACTGAAGCCTAGTTCAGGGGAGGGAACTTGTGGCCTCAAGGCTACATGTGGCCCCCTAGGTCCTCAAGTGTGGCCCTTTGACTGAATCCAAACTTCACAGAACAAATCCCCTTAATAAAAGGATTTGTTATATAAAACTTGGACTCAGTCAAAAGGCCACACCCAAGCGCCTCAAAGCCACAGTTTCCCCACCCCTGAGTGCCACCATTTTCTGAAGCTTTTCTAGCTACACACAGTTCTTCATTCCTTTAAATTCCTACAGCCTTTACTTTATACATAGCTTTTTGTTCTCCACATATTCTTTCATTTGTTATAGTTATTTTTGTATATGCAATCATAAATATTCGATTGTAAACTTGCCAGGGGGAAGAACTATGTCATAAATCTTTGTATTTCTCAAAGTATCTTGCATACAATAGGTTCTTAATAAGAAAATGTTTGGCTAACAAATCAATTGATAAATGAGTCACATATGAATCAAACAATGGAGGAAAAATCAAATGACTTGATTTTAATAAATAATAATTGCATCTCCTGCCTCAATTTACCTAAAGGGGATCTAGATAGAGATATGTCACTATCCAGTAATAGCCTTCTTGCCTACTTGCAGCCCACAATGACTGCAAATCTTTCCTATCCATTGTTCATTGTGCCAACACCAAACATTTGTTCTTCGTTACTTCCTACCTTGCATGGTCCTCTAATCGTGTTCATCTGCATGTTCAAGTGTTGACTCCCCAAGTAAATTATACCTTTGTGGACATTGGGATAAACTTTATGTGGCTTTTTGTTCTCCCCACTTCACCCACGGAAGCTAGCACAGTTCTGGGCACACAGTAGCCATGCAATATGTTTGAATTGATTCATGGGAGTTTGATGCTTCTTGGTCATTTACAACTGACCCTATTCTGTCCATCTCCACAAGTTGTGAGTTACAAAATCATCCCATCCTCCATCAGAAAGCATCTAAAAAATGAAATCAACAAAAAAGGCTGAGGTCTTCATTTGGGTTAAATATAACATACTCTATTAAGTCAGGAAGGCCTTTGTATATTTCTTCATCGTTGACACTTTCTTCAGTAGGGAATGGTCTAGAGGAAGAAAAAAAAAAGAAGTGTAATTGGAAGAAAACTAGATGGAATATAATTTTAACAAAATATAAAATGTGTGCTGTTACTATGTAAGTCAAATTCTGTTACTGTGGCAAATATTCCCTCAGGCATGCCCCCAAAGTACCCACAATAACTGCTGCCAACTAGCTGCTTAGAATGTGCACTCAATTTTCCTTAAGGATATCCAAAGCTTCTGCTCAAGCATCATCAGCATCACTATAAATAACAATAGCATGTTAGGGTTTTAAAGCACTTTACGAACTATTATCTCATTTGATCCTCCCTACAACCATGGGAGAAAGGTGCTATTTTTTCCCCCATTTTACAGATGGGGAAACTGAGGCAGACGGAGTCTAAGTGACTTGTCCAAAACCACACAACTGATAAATGGCTGAGGTGGGACTTGAAGTCCAGTGCTCTAGCCACTATGTCACCATGCATTAAGGTTCAATTTAAGCATCTGGAGCAGTGGCTGGTGGCAGTCTCTCCTCTAAATGCACTTAGGATTTCTATCCCCAAGTCTGTCTGCAGTAGCATCACTTGCTCAGGATCATAGAACTGCAGTTTGAGAGTTGAAATGGACCTGGGAGAACATCTGGTTCAATGCCCTCAGTCTAGTGCTGGAAAAACTAGAGACTCAAGAAGTTAAAGTGACTTGGGTCCAAGGTCCCACGGGTGGGAAGTAGAAGAGCTGGGGCCAGGAGCCCGGTCCCAGTATTCTTTCCACTGTGTCACAGACATACAGCTCTCCCCGTAACCACCAGCTGGCATTTCCTAGTTCAGGAAATACCAGCTAGGATTGCTGAGTTTCTTGACATTTTTAATAAATTACGTTTTAATGAGATCTTTTGTCTTTACATTTCTCACATACACTGCTCTCACTTCCTGCCATTGAACCTCTCTTGTAACAAAGAAAAACAATTAAGCAAAAATTTCTTATACATAAATGTATATCCCACTCATTTTCCCACCTCTCTGACATGAGGGACAAGGTCTATGTCATGATCTCTTCTCCAGGCCTTTCAGTGGTTTGCCTTCACTGAGTTCCTCAACTTTCAAAGTATATGCTTCAAGAAAATCTCAATGTAGCTAAAAACAGTCATCATAGAGTGATGGGATTTGAATTTTAGACCATGTTAAGTCCACACCAGGACTTAATTCACTTGCCTAAACTTAAAGCCACTTCCACAAAAAAAAAAGTCTTTCATTTGCTGTTTTTTGTATGCTAACTGAAATTGGTTACAGTCACATGTGTATTTTAATTTTACTTTATTGCACCACTGAGTTTGTGGTGTTTATTTTGATAAATCAGGAAAAAGACTCATGGAATTTTAGACTATAAAGAGATCATCTGCTCCATTCCCTATATTTTATTGATTCAGAAACCGAGGCGTAGATAAATGAATGATGACTAGTTAGAAGCAGGCTAAAAATTAGGTGTCCTCACTAGTAATCTAGCAGTCTTTTTTTTTTAATGTAGCTATTTATTTATTTATTTATTTATTTATTTATTTATTTATTTATTTATCTGGGGGGGGCTAGGCAAATATTTAGGCTCATGGATCATTGATTTGGAGAGTTAAGGGACCTCTAAGATCATCCAGGGATTCTTAACATTTTTTTTTTAATTTCATGGGTCACTCTGAATTATCACATTAGACTGTAAACTCCTTGAGGGCAAGAACTTTCTTTTTTTCATATTTGTTTACCATTCACTTGGCACAGTGCCTGGCACATAACAGGGGCTTAATAAATGTTTCCTGGCTGACAGGAAGTCTAGTGAAGCCTATGGACCCCTTCTCAGAATAATGTTTTCAAATATATAAATAAAATGAAGGGACTGTTAAATTCCAGTTGTTGCTTGTTATGGGTCAGTTGTTTCAGTAGTATCTGCCTCTTTATGACCCCATTTGAGGTTTTCTTGGCAAAGATACTGGAGTGGTTTGCCATTTCCATATCCAACCCATTTTACAGATGAGGAAAATTAGTCAAACAGGAGTAAGTGACTTGCCCAGGGTCACACAGCTAGTAAGTGTTATGTGTCTGAGGCCAGATTTGAACTCCAGTCCTCCTGAATTCAGGGCCAGCCCTCTATCCACTGCGCCACCTAACTACTCTGCTAATCCAGCAGTCTTTATACGAAATTGTTGGTTCCTACATCTCAATATAACATTTGTTGCAGTCGTGTCTAACTCTTCATGACCCCATTTGGGGTTTTCTTGGCAAAGATCCTGGAGGGTTTTGCCATTTCCTTCTCCAGCTCGTTTTACAGATGAAGAAACTGAGCAAAGGGTTAAGTGATTGTCCAGGGTCACAAAGCTTATAAGTGTCTGAGGTCAGATTTGAACTCAGGAAGATGAGTCTTCTTAACTCCAGGTGTGGCATTCTATCCACTGTGCCACATACCTGCCCTAATAAAACATATATTCATACTATTAACAATTGCTTGGTAAAAGCCCCATCTTCAAAGAGCGTTTTTTTTGATATTTCTTCCCCATTTAATACAGCTTAGTTTTTCTGTTTGTTCTATTTTAACTTTGAAACAGTTAGAAACATATATTTAAATTAAATTGAAAGAAAGTTTCCCTAACTCTTAGCTCACTTCTGTCTTAGATGTTTGAGGCAGAATGTTCAAGTAAGATATATATATATATTATAGATATATATATAGATATATATATACACATATATATATATAATATATAATATATACACGCATACATATATATATATACATACACACTTCTATTTACATTTAGACATATATGTCTATATTATGTACATATCCATGTTCATGTGTACATAAGACATACATTTATGTGTATATATACATATATGGTTATGTTCTTTAAATGGATTCTGACAAAGTTAATTACACTACAGCACACTTAGAAGATATTTAATAACTATTGTGTTGAACTATGGCAAACTCTTAGAACACGTATGAGTTTATTTTTAAATGATGCCAGAATCCATCAAGAAGAATGGAGGAAGATGATAGAGGCATAGATTTAGAGCTGATAGGTCCTAGGGAGGTGATCTAGTATAAACCTCTCATATCGCAGATGCAGAAAGAAAATGAAGGGAAGGGTACAAGTATAAGTGCCTGCCTCTTATGTGCCAGGCACTGTGCTAAGCACTTTACAAATATGATGAATCTGACACCCGTAGAGATGTCAGGAATTCTTAACCTGGAGTCTGTGAACTTTTACTTAATGTTTTTTTTATAATTTATTTCACATAGTTAGTTTCCTTTGTAATTTTATATATTTTACTTTATGAATTTAAAGACATTATTCTGAATCTATAGGCTTCCCCACACTCCCAAAGGGGTCTATGAAAGAAAAAAGGTTAAGAAACCCTGGATTAAGTGATTTGCCCACTGTCACATAGGTATTAAGTGACAAAGAGAAGATCTGAATTCTCTAATTCTGAATCTAACACTCCTAGTACTGATAGACCCCTACACTTATTAATTCTGAGCAGCAGACACTCAGTAGTTCACAGAACAATCCTAGGTTCTGCATTTTGGGCACTAAAGTCAAGTGTTTCATTGACTAAGCACTATACCCCCCCATAATATAAAGGTTTCCATATCGTGCTTATGAATGGCCAAAAATGGAAAATGTTTATATATTTTTGCCTAATTAAATATTTATGACTTATGTTTTAAAATATAGTTCACAGCTGTTGACCACAGCAGAGAAGAATTGCCTACTATGTACTCAATGAATTGAAAACAAAACATGTGTGATCTGACACAGGACCATCATAACAATAAAGCTTACCTAATTCCTGTGGCCAATGCAATAGGTGTACGAGAAAGTCTTGACAGTGTTTCTATGACCTGAGGAAAGAAGAAAAGATTTCATTGGATTTGTGTTTCCAAAGAACCTAAGGTACCTCGTTCCCCAAAAGATCAGGTTTTTAGTCTTACAATAAAGGTCAATAAAATAAATATGAATGTCTGATAGAATAATCTGAAGGCTCCTAAAGGATTTTTAAAAAGCCTATCAGGCCTAATTTTAAAGATTTCCAGTAAAGGTGATTCCTTGGCTACCCTTAGATTAAATACTTTAAAATCCCTGAGCTGCAGTTTTCTCATGTTTTAAAAAAAGAGATTTGGACTTTTAAAACCTCTAAGGTCTCTTCTAGTTATAGGTCTACGGGTAGCATCAACTTAAAACCAAGTTTAGAGATTTAGAGCTGGAAGGGAATCCACAGTCCCTCTAACCCAACCACCTCATTTTACAAATGAGAAGAATGAGGTCCAGAGTCTTTTGGGTCTTTTGACCCAAAGCAGAACTTGAACCCAAATTCCCTGACTCCAAATTGATTATCCTTTCCCCTATACCACAATGGTCTTCCTGACTTCTATTCCAACATTCTATCCACTAAGTGAAGCTACTTCTCATCCCTTTCTCCTAAGGACACAGTGGTCATTGGAATGGGATTGGCCTCTCTTCTGTCATTATGCACTACCATCTTCCTAAAAACCACCTTCTCTTTTTTCATGACTGAAAAGTGAAAGCCTCGTATAGACACATCAGGATAAGTGTTTAAGCAGAAGGTACAAGGACAGACAAAAAAATACAAATATTCTCCCCATCGCTACCCACATCACCAAAGAGTAAAAAAATGATCACAAATGTAATATAATGCATCTATAGTTTGAAATGAAAAATAGAAAAGTATCAGATTTGCCAAAAACACTTAGAAGTCTAGATGGTAACATGAAACAACTCCTGCCATCAAGGGGCATATATTTTACTGGAAGTACTTATATTCCACAAAAGGAATCTACTTGGTCAGACTACACATTCCAAACTTTAGTTTCAGAAAATATAGTCATTTCAATTATAAGGCCATTAGGGAAGGCCACACATTATTTTCCTGGCCTAACGTTGGCACTCGGCCACAGAGTGGCTGATTCTACTACCACCTGTAAGAAAAGCAGGGTGTCTGCCAATACCTGGTAGTTTCCACTATCCAGTCCTATCATGCCCTCCTCCTCATCCCCAGAAAAAAAAAATAGAAAACATCGCTTTTCTTCATATAAATAACCAGCAGAGGGAGCCATTTCATAGAATATTAGTTTTGTTTTATCATTTAATTCTGCTTAATAAGTGTAGGCATCTCTGAAAGCCTGCTGAGGCAGATGCTAGACTTCTATAACTTCTTCTCCAAAGGTTATTTCTTAATATTCTTCAAAATAGTGAGTTGGGAGCAGGGAGGGAAAAGGGTGACATGAGAAATACGTGCAGTATGAGAATCAGGAAAAAGCCACAATAGCAATGTAATTTTAAACACGAGCTCTTCGGCACTCCCTTAAGCTCTGGTACATTATCCAGCATTCTGTCTCAGTCTTTGTCTCTGTCTTTGCCAGTCTCCATCTGTATCTCTGTCTCTCTGTCTCTGCCTCTCTGTATCTCTCTATTTGCCTCTCTGCCTCTGTCTCTCTCCCCCCATCCTGGTCCAAACATTAAACATAAGCATTGCCAAGCCAAATATGTAAAGTCTACTCAATGTGGTTTTTTAAACGTTGTATTTGTTGTTCTTTAAGGTCCATGAGCACAAAATCTTGGCAATCAGTGAACTTTGAACAGGCTGAGTCCCAAAAATAATGCTGGATCCTCAGGTCCCATGTGATCAAATATGATCTCTCCCAGTGAGATAAGAACATGGTTATGCAAATATTTACAAAAGAAAAAGGAACCAGGGAAACCATTGAATCTTTGTGTTGATATGGTCATAGGATCATTCATAGAGCACAGGAACAAGGCTTTGGAGCTAGAAGGTAATGTCACCTAGCCCAACTCCTTAACTTTAGAGATGAGGAAACAGAGTCCAGAGACGTTAAATGACTTTCCCAAAGTCACACAGGGATTAAATGTCAGAGAAAGACCTGAACACAGGTCCTGTTACTCTAAATCCAACATTTTTCATTGTATCATTGTTAAATAATTGTGTTTCTGAATATTTCACTGAAATATAATATATTCTAATTATGACAATATATAATAAATATAATAATATAGATAACATAATGTATTATAATATATAAAATATGAAATCCTGAATACTAGCTATAGAAAAGATATATTCTTTCAAAAAGGCTGCAGTGACAAACTAAATCACCAAAAAGGGAGTATAGTACTTGAGTTTAAGAAGGTATAAATATGGAATCAGTCCAAAAGATTTTTTTTAATTATCCAACTTGAAGATGAAAGACATTTTTCCTTCACATTTGTGAATAAGCTCAAAAATTTTCTGATTATAAGTATAATTACAAAAACTGGAAAAAGAGGTTAAGATTTACTTTATTTCTCTTGGGCTAGGTAGGCCATTCTGGAAAACGGTGATCAAAATGGCAATAAACTCTTCTCTATGTAGACTGCTATTTTCAGATACTTTGTTTTAAAGAGAAAACATTTTAAGTGTCACTGTTATTACAGACCATTTATAAGCATCCAAGGCCTCTGGGGGGGAAAAAATCAAGCATTATTATTAGCTCCATTTCACAATTGGGGAATTTAAAATGTCGAAGGTTAAATCATTTCAAGTGGCATCAACAGAAGTTGCATGTGGGCGAACAAAGGCAGGGTTTAAGCAAAAAAAAAAAGTCACACTTGTGTTTACAGAAAGAGATCAGCCTATCATGAACATTCACTGCTGAATGAGAGGAAGAAATGTCTCTTCAGTCATTCAGTCATCCACACTTTCCCCACTCCCTTGCTAAATTCAGTGGGACAGATCCTTCTTTCCCTACTTACTTTTGTTCAAATTTGATTGTTTTTAAGGTCTTGTGATCACTTCTGTCCTTTCTCTTTTCCGTTAACTCCTTGAGATTCTAATTAAATTAAGCTGACAGCAATAACTTCCCACAGATGGAAGACTAATGCCACACACTGCTCAAACTACCTATTATAATTATTTCCCTAAATAAAACTTGATCGATTTTTCTCTTGTGTCTTCTGGTATATAACTATTGTTGGGATTTTATTTTGTTATGTTTAAAAAGCTACCCATGCTAAAGAAGTGTGACATAATTGTTTGGGAGGTTGCAACCAAACTCCCCCTTTGCTATTCCCAATATATGCAATAACATTCCATTTCTCCCTTCTTCTTGTCTTTGCATAAGCTGTCTCCCTTGCCTAAAATGAGCTTCCTTACTACTTTCACTTGACAGAAATCTAGGTATCTTTCAAGTTAATCGGGAATGCCACTTCCTGTTAGATGCTGTTTGTTCTCAATAGAAAGTTTGCTCCTTGAGAGCAGGGACTGAATTTTTCATTTGTTTGTTTGATTTGGCTGGTTTTTGTCTTTGAGGCCTCAGTTCTTAGCACAGTGCCTGACACATAGTAGGCCTTTAAACAAATACTTGTTGATTTTCTTTTTCATTGAAAAGCATGGCCATGTGGTTAGTGTATGTCAGCATGGGTATGTCAGTCAGTCAGTAGTCAATGAGCATTTATTAAGTGCCTACTATGTGCTAAGTGCTGGTCCTACTACAACTTCTGACACATATGTGCTGATAAAGGCCAGATAAACCATTTAAGCTTCATTCTCTGACTCAAAAGAAAGTCATAAAATAAGACTCCTGGATTTCTTGAAGTGCTTGTAGAAACCATAGACATTCATCCAGTCCTACCCCCTCCTTATTCTAAAGATGAGGAAAGTGAGACCTGAAAAAAAAATGACACATAGCTAGTACACAGCAAAGCCTAGATTTGAACCAACATCTAGTGTTCTTTTCAACTTAACAAGATATTCAATCTGTGAAAGAATGTTAGATTTTTTTTTTCTAAAGGGGTTTGGAGGATTGGGAAAGGCAGTGTAGTATAGTAGATAGAAAGACAACCGCTGCACTAGGAAGATCTGGGTTCAAGTCCTGATTCTGACATATACTGATTATGAGACCCTGGGGCAAGGCACTCCACAGCTTAGTGTTCTAGGTCAACTCTTTAAGGATAAAAGTTAAAGAAAATGTGTTGATCTGTACTGATAAGAGTTTCCTCACCTGGGAATGTTACACCTATACCACTGAGGTCACAGGTCCAGTTGCTACCCCTAATCTTTTTTTTAAAATTTTATTAATTTATTTTGATTTATTAACAATCACTTCCATATGCTTTTGAGTTTAAACTTTTTCTTCCCCTTCCTCCCCACCACCCTCCCCAAGATGGCGCATGATCTGATATAGGCTATACATTTACATTCCTATTAAACATTTTCACATTAGTGATGTTATAAGTAAAAATTAAAACCAGCAGAAGGAACCATCAGAAAGAGGAAACAAAACTCAACAAAAGAGAAAAAAAAATAGCAATTCAACTTCCGTAGTTCTTTCTTTGGATGTGGATAGCATTTTCAACCATGAGGCTTCCAGAGATGTCTTAGATCCTTGTATTGCTGAGAAGGGTTAAGTTTATCAATATTAGTCATCGTACAACATGGCTGTTATTGTGTACAATGTTCTCTTGGTTCTGCTCACTTCACCCAGCATCAGACCATACAAGTCTTTCCAGGGTTTTTCTGAAGTCAGTCTGTTCATCATTGCTACCCCTAATCTTAATGGGGGTTTATTAGACTGTAAGCTCCTTGAGAGCACAGACTGTCTTTTTATTAAGCAAATGCCCAGCACTTAGTACAGTGCCAGGCATACAGTAGGCACTTAATACGTTTGTTGAATTGGATCAGATTGGATGGGGCTAGAAGGTAGAATACAATAATAAAGATGAAGAAATGGCTGCAAACTCAATGTGAATTAAACTTAGAGAAAAGGAAATACTATATTGTAGTTTGCAATAACTTTCATCTTATTGCACAATAGTTACAATTGTACTT